AAATGCACCCACTCCATGCATCCGTTGCATCTTACCGAGACCGATCTGTAGTGGATGCGATTACCACAAACGGAGCAGAACCATGGTCCGGGGTTGGTCCCGATCCCGGCTCGAACCAAGAGAATACGAAGCAAACATTCCGGGTAATGTTACTCCCACATAAAGAAAATGGACGAACGCGAACATGTATTTGCTGGGTTGGCGGCCCCTAGTCGGACATTTGTACCTCCGAGTCAGTCCTGGTCGGATATTTGTACCTCCGAGTCATAGAATCGGCCGCCTTTCAGGGGGTAAAGTGCTCAAGAAGAACTCCTTTGGTATAATTTCAGACAATTCCGTTGAAAAATGTGGCTAAAATCATCAAAATATCGGGGGGTACCGTTATATGGGGCCTATACGATATCGTAGACCTATATAGCTTACTCTTTTCCAAGGGATTAAGTGCTCACAAAAAACTTCTTGTGTAGAATTTCAGACAATTCCGTTGAAAAATATGGCTGAAATCATCAACATCCAAATATCGGGGGGTACCGTTATATGGGGGATATACGATATAGTGGACCTATATAGACAATTCTCTTTCAGGAGGTAAAGTACTCACAAGGAACTCTTTGGTGAAAATATGGAATATCGGGACGCACCATTATATGGGGGTTATACAATATCGTGGACCTATATAGACAATTCTCTTCCAAGGGATAAAGTGCGAACAAGGAACTCAGACAATTCCGTTGAGAAATGTGGCTAAAATCATCAAAATACCGAATATCGGGGGCTACCGTTAAATGGGGGATATACGGTATCGTGGACCTATAAAGACAATTCTCTTTCAGGGGGTAAAGTACCCGCAAGGGAAAATGTGGCTAAAATTAAAAAAAAAAATGCCGAATACGGGGTTGCAGCTATATGGGGCCTATACGATATCGTAGACCAATATAGCCCATCTTTGAACTTGACCTGCCTGCAGACAAAAGAGATATGTGAAAAATTTTAGCTTCCTATCTTTATTCGTTTTGACTGTAGCGTGATTACAACAGACGGACGGACAGGGCTAAATCAAGAATATATATACTTTGTTGGGTCTAAAATGATTATTTCGACGAGTTACAAACGGAATGACGAACTTAATATACCCTCCACACTATGTATGGTGGAGGGAATAAAAATTATGAACAGTTTTACATAATAAGCAAAATAGTAACAGTAATGTTCCTCGAGGAACAATAAGGCAAGAATTACTGATGGCGCTTCCGGAAAAATTTACAGTATTCAAAAATTTTTGAGAAACATTCAGCGTCAATGTTGAAGAAAAAAGTTAGGATTATACGAAAACAAAACGAGTTTCTACGGAAAGATTAGATTATGGAAGAGATTGTGCAAAACGAAAACTATTTGCTGAAGTTGATGTGCGGCGCCAACAAAAATAAACCGAAAGGGCATTCGGAGCGTGCTATGCTTGTGGTAGCGATCATACGGTTGTCCTTTTGCAACAAAAATAAAAAGGAGCGTCCATCGAAACCAGGACCCGCCTGGATACACATGAAGTTCTAGTGAAAACGTTTATTTTTCTTTCGAGACTTTAATTAGAATTGGTAGTTTGTTAGTCCAATAAAAGAGACGCGTTGCCTATTGGCAACTGATATTACTTTTAAGGCTTAAATTACTCCCTATTAAAATCCCCGAAAGGCTGATTTCTGTGAAATATCGTGACTGATGTCCCGGAAACACCTATCTGCTACCTGAACATCAGGTTGGGCAGTTCTCTGAAGCGGCGATTGGTATTTTCTCTGAATTCTTGCCAATTGACTTTCCCGTGGTTAAAGAAAATGCGGCGTTCAGAGTCAATGAAGTCGGGTGGTCTGTTGATGGCGACAATAATGGGGAGGTGGTCTGAGCCTAGGGAAATGACTGATTGCCAAGTTACGTTATTCGTCAGACCTGAGGACACGATGGATATGTCCGGAGAACTGTTTCAGTCTCCCCTTATTCTAGTGGGCGCGTCCTTATTCACTGTGCAAATCGTGGAGCTATCAATTTGGTCAGCCAGCGCCATGCCTCTCTGGTCATTACCTAGGACGGAATGCCAAAATTCATGATGGGCATTGAAAACCCCTAGCACCAGACGGTTATTGCTTACCAGAAGTGAACTCATATAAGGCATATAATACATACTTGACCGCTACCCCCATACATTCCATATACGGGTCACTAGAGAGGACAGAGTGGTGCAATAGGAACGGTAATCCTCCACCTTCACCCCTGGAGCGATCCTTCCTCAGTACGTTGGATCCATCACAACTTTGAAGTCTGCCGGTGGTACTCAGCTTCGTTTCCTGGATCGCTGCGACCTTGATGTTCTTCCGACTCATGAAGCTTACGATTTCGTTAATCTTACCTCGGAGACCATCACAATTAAACTGGAGAAATGACGCATTATCCGGAACTTGAACAGCAATGTGTGGCGTCAACTGCTGCGTAAATTGCTGTTGAGGATATTGCGGGGGAGTCTCATATTGCGACGACCATGAGGACGCCGAAGATGCAGACTCACTGGGGTCTACATTGACGCGGCAGGAAGCAATGTAGTCCCTATCGCTGTACTCCTGTATCCGATTTAAGCCGGAACAATTCCGGAAATGCACCCACTCCATGCATCCGTTGCATCTTACCGAGACCGATCTGTGGTGGATGCGATTACGACATAAGGAGCAGAACCATGGCCCGGGGTTGGTCCCGATCCCGGCTCGGACCAAGAGAATACGAAGCAAACATTCCGGGTAATGTTACTCCCATATCAAGAAAATTGACGAACGCGAACATGTATTTGCTGGGTTGGCGGCCCCTAGTCGGAGATTTGTACCTCCGAGTCAGTCCTGGTCGGATATTTGTACATTCGAGTCATAGAATCGGCCGCCGTGGGATTCGATATTTTGTAATGAGTTTTGCCTCATATGACAGAATATTGTCTGTGTAGGTCCAAGTTTTCCTACACTCTCCGTATAAGGTACCTCCCGATATTCGACTTTTTATCGAACGAACAAGGGGCAAGGGGGCAACCTCCCTTTTCATAGGGATAGCATACTATTCACGATTCCCATCATGATGGAAATTGAGTAGAAAATCGAAAACCAGATAGAGAAATCTACTTCATCAGCTACTCCAGTGTAAATCTCTCAAAGCAAAAAGCAGACATTTTTTTAGTACAGATTCTATTTTATAAGAGTATATTGCTTATTGAGGATCACATACAACGGAACCATATTCAAAGACCTAAAACAGTAAAGACTGGACAAAATGCATTATGGAAAAATGGTTAATGTAAAATAAATATAGGAGCGCTGCTCTCAACAGTGACTTGTTTGGATAAATATTATATTTACAGAGCAACTTTTCTGTAAACCAAAAATTTGGACTCAAAATTGCATTCCATTGAAGTTTTCGATTAATTGAAAATTGCATTTGCTGTTAAAAAACTTAACATTAGTGATTATGTTTTTTATGATATCGTAACGACAGAGGTATTTACACCTGGGGACAATATTTTGACTCTGTCTTGTCCCATGTCTTTACTTCTATGTCTGCCATATTCTAATATAGATCTCACAAGAGACGTAAATAGAAGTTCTGTTTTATATGAATAAACATTTTTTTGGTCCACCTTCATACAAAACCTAAACACCGTTTATTTATTTACCATTGTTATTACGAGACTATTAAAATTTAAATTTGGATCCATCAAAATACCAAGATCGACAAATGATTATACAGTTGATAAACAATCCCACTGAAGCGGGTTCTACGATACCAGATAAACCCGAAACAACAACATCCCAGTTTCGGCCAGCGGCTGCCAACCCAGTATGTACATGTTTCTGCTTGTCTATTTTTCTGCGTTGAGAGCATTTGCAACATCACCCATCGTAAACTGTGGTGGTTCCTTCTCCGAAGGAAGAGATCTGATACGACGTAGTACACTTCGCCCTCGGGATGAGATATGAACATTTTTATAAGTGCGGTTGTAAGATTTAGAAGATTTTCCAAAAGAATGTAAGTTTAATTTAAGTTTTTGGTTTTTTCCTATTGAGCTTGGGTAATATCCCAGACAAAAAAAACAAGTTAAAAAGCATTAGGCTCGGCAGGGCCGAACTTTGAATACCCTCCACCATTTGGAACGAATTTCAAAATTAAAAAAAAAAAAACAAAAAAAATCTTAAAAAATTCTTTTAAAACTTTAAGAATACCAAAAATAGCCGTTATATTGGGGTCTGTACGACGTGGACCTACATAGGCATTGTTTGTCATAAACCATTACCATATCCAAATTCGTAACTTGAAATGAATGGTGAATAATGTAGCAAAAATCATCAAAATATCGTATATAGGAGGCTATGCGTAGACCTATAGACCTGCATAGACAATTTTCTGTCACAGAATGTAGTTCCCATAACCAACTCTAAATACATAATTTGAAACAATTCTGGTGAATAATAACGCTAAAATCATCAAAATACCAAATATTGGGAGGTACCGTTATATGGGGGCTTATACGTGGACCTACATGGCCCATTTATGTGTGAAAAATTTTAGCCTCCAGGTGAAGGCAAGAGGTATACTCTTTCAAACGATATTCTAAATCGTCTCACATTCCGGACAGAAGTCTATGCGTATATTTTAAAATTAAGAATAGCGCTATTATTTTTGTTGCACGATATTAAAAAACTGCCACTAATTTATTAATTTTTGAAATTACTTCGTATTTGGCTATAATATTTTTTTACATACTTCGAAAGGTTTGCTGGTTTTTTGGTAAGAGTATTGGAAGAGCTTAATTTTAAAAATCACTGCTGGGTGGAGTCGAAAGTACAGGATGATTTAAAAATCGTCTTTAAGCGGAACTCGCACCGTGAAGACGGTAAGTTAGTATGGTATGGCATGTGATCTTATATTGCCAAAATTAATAAAATTTTTATAAATCAATACGCAAATGAATAAGTACTTACGCAGAATAACAGCATCTGGGCACACAACTGCTAACCGAGCGGTCATTAGATATGTTAACATTTTTATGTCATAATGATCACAAAGGCCTGCTTGGACATGATCTAGAAACTGCATGACATCTACTCGCTCCAACCCTTGCTCTAAAAGAGTATACATGCATTCAAAAGCTGCTTTACGAATATCCAAGCCATCATCAACCGTGTGTTTGAAAGGGCCCATTTCAACTTCGCGTATAAGTTCATTCTATTAAATCAACATATTTTTATAAATATATTTTTTGTGTGCTGTTTACCTACCTTCACTTTGGTCTCCGAATATAGCCATGGTAACAGAGTCGGCAAGAGTTCACGCACAAGACTTGGTTTATTATGAACTGCTGAATTGAAAGCCACTAATGCGACACGGCGCACGGAAGGTTCGGGATCTCGAAGCAAGAAAAGGAACTTTCCTATATTTTGTTTTAAAAGCAAATCTATTTGCTGCGGTTGATCAGATATTGTGAATTTAATTGCTGATACTACAACTGTTCTCATAAGAGGGCTATCGGATTTCAAAGCTTCTTGTAATCTAGGTAAAAGTTCCTCGGGATTAACAAGGACCAATTTGCCTAAACACTCGGCAACGACATTACGAGATCCCTCTTCTGGGCATTCACAATGTTTAAACAATTGTTCCCAGATCGACGGTACCGATGGTAGCAATTGAGACAATCCGTTTGGTGTTACAGATAGTGACGATATGACTTCCTTCAATGAGTGGAGAAGCAGATATTGTCGCCTTGGTTGTGCTTCAATTTCGTTAAGTATCAGTGGCAAAAATGTCTCCAAGCTTCCTACAGAAATAGCACCCAGAGCATGACTTGCAGCACCCTTAACATCCTCCGAACCGGCGCTAAAACATTCAATTATAGTTTGTGGTAGATCTGGAATAGAGTCCAAAGAAAAATGTCTTCCTATTTCACCAATGGCTAATAAGTTAAATACAAGTTGAGAATCTGCAATTGAATTTGGCTTTTGAAGATCTTGCAGTAACTGCGCTGCAAGGGGTATAGCTTCATTAGGGCACTGCTGTGTTAGTGCGGCTACACACTTTGCAAGAGAATGATAAGCTTGCTTATGAAGTTGATCGGCAGTGCATGGTGCAACAGACGAGGGAGAAGTAACCGGTTCCATCAATTTCCTTAGCAAAGATTGATAATCAAGCCCTGGAAGATTTGTTTGTACCAGTGATTGGAATAAATCATGAGTACATATAAGAGCTGACCCCTGAAAAAGAAGTAAGTAAAGAAAATAAATGTAAAAAATAATACACAATCACATTTTGTGAGCCATCAGCGGAAAAAATTGTACATTATATTATTTATTCATTTAAAATAGTTCTTAAGTACTACTTATGATAATTTTCCTTCACCTAGTCTATCATAAATTGTAAACGAGAGAGCGAGGGAGAGAGAAATACAAATGTACACATGCTAGTGTACCATGCCCCCCTTAAATTCTAGGAGAGGTAATAAAATATGCATAGCTATCTCACTTGTGGCAAGCAAACATGCTACACTTGCTTGTCAGTCTGAGTAAAGATTACATCCCGTAATTTGACTCAAACATACCACATGCAGCAATTTAAATTATTTTACAGACATCCCACGATCCCTTTTTATCACATTGTAGTGATTTAGGGACTATTAAAATATGAACTGGCGACAAAATATCAAGTGATTCGATATTATCACTTTCTGCATACGTTAATGCTCTTGAGTTTAATATTGCTTCAATTTGGCATAGCAACATACTCATTTCTTTGCCTCTCCAATCACTCTACTAAGATATTTTATTAATTTCACACCTGCCTCCCAAATACCTCCTACCTGAGGCCAGGTAGAATATATTTCCATTGCACCTTCTCCACCGCCAAAAAACTCAGTGCTGAGCTGCAGTTTTTAATGGCTGCTTTGCAGTATTTGTCCAATTTGCGGCTAGCTCCCACAAAATTAGTTCCAATATCACTGTAGATAACTGCAGAAATTCAACTAATCGCAGAACGTAGGCAACAACTCTCCTCAGCTTAGTAAAACTTGAGCACTTCTCCGTTATGGCGGCCAAAAATATTTTTACTATTATCTACTGTATTTTCCAATATTTGTCGCTTTTGTTGTGGTATTGACGGCCGTTCATTCTGCAAAATACTTTCTCTTTCTATAGATAATTCTGCTCTAGAGCCAAGATAAGCTGGAATTTCTTTAGTTATACATAGCTCCATCGTGTGCAAGACAGCTCGCTAATTTCATTCACCTTGTTTCGTATGAATCTATTGCAGTTCTTGCTTTTATGGAAGTTTATTTTTATTTACATAAAATCCTAATATTTGCCAAAATCATGAAGATGTTTGTCCCACAGTTAGTATATGACGAAATCTTGACTCTCCCTCCAACCTTAGGTATCTGTTTGGGGTCAGAGGAACTGCCCTTCTTTAAATCTTTATGTAAAAAATTTAAAAAAGTATAGTATCACATTAGTTTAGAACGGCTGGGCCGATTTGATATAAATTTTCTTTCGGTTATTTATAATTACGGTGGAAACGTTTTTATGAAAGAAAATGTTGAGAAAAGCCTATATAAAAATCGCGGAACTGAAAAAATTGACTTTTCTATTTTGATATGGAGTTTTGTTTAAAATTCTTATTGAAAAAACCGAAGAAATCGAGAAATTTTGCATATTTTCTATACATGCCAAACCAAACCAAAATTAACAATTTTGACTAAAAAATACTTTTCAAGACATTAAAAATCTCAACGTACTTTTAAATTGAGGCTATGCCTAATGGGGAACCAATAGTAGCCAGTTATTTCCGATATTGCTTTCACAATACCGAAAACTTTAAATGTCAAGTTACAGATAATTCGGTAGAAATTGTAACAAAAACATACAAAAGGACGAATTGTTGGTGGTATTATTATACCTAAACGAAATTGATATATTCTTATAACTTCATAGAAATATTGTAGTTCAAAGATTAACCTAAATATTTGGCCTTTATTGCGATTTCAATCGTATTTTATTCGACTGGTAGAAACTAATTACCTTATAACATGATTTTCTATAAGTTACGAATTCTAAAATTACTTTAGAATTGGAAAATATTGCTAAGACCTTTATAATACTGATAATTGAGAATTGAAAATTTAATTTAATACGATGATATAACGAATATAAAGAGGTACTGGGGAATAATTTTCTGACAAATGATTTATAACCTCAAAAATGCTTTTGAGCCCTACAAAATGCCTAATATTGGGAGATAATATTATATGAGGGATATATGTAAATGATAACAAATATATTATATTTGTAACATCAATAATCCTATGAATAATATGTGCTAAGTCTGAAAGACGCATAATAAATTTGGTGACCTCTATCATAATTGCAAATGGTGAATGAAGAGGCTCACGAACATAATTTAATCAACAAAGATTTCAACTTTTTAACATACTTTATGGGGTCCCTAACTTTTATAAATCGATGAAACTTTATTTATGATATGATTGGGAAATTGTTTGGTTGATAGATAAAAATCCCAAAAAGGGGTTTTGGGTCAAAAGTTTTTAGGGTCCATTTTATATAGCTTAACCAAACAAAAAAGGCCTCAAATACTTTGCTCTATACTTCGCAAAAGTTACGATCGAGTTTTAGGGGTTTCATGAAGAATCAGTTGTACAAAATATGTATCAGGTCGGTATAAATTGATGTAGTCCCTCAAATGATGTAGCCCCTTTCTAATTCCTCAAATGTTGGTAATTTGAGATTTTAGGAAGAACAACACATTCTTTCAAATAATTATAAGAATTGGGCCATGCTTTGGTATAACCCTTATATGAAGGTATCCGCTGATTTCGGCTATTTCCAGTGTCTTGGTACCATTTTTCAATTGATTTTGATTATATTTAATATATAAACTCTCAAATTAAATATATATATATATATATATATATATATATATATATATATATATATATATATATATATATATATATATATATATATATATATATATATATATATATATATATATATTTAATTTGAGAGTTAATTTATATGTAATTTGATATATTTATATATATATCTTAAGATCTTAATGCTATTAAAAACTAATGAAGTTACTCGAAAATTAAACTACGGTTATCACTGTTTTGGTACATATTTCAGTCCTTGTCTACTCGTATTTAATTTTTGTATTTTGTTGTCTTTTTAACATTAAACGTACTGCGTGTGTTTCGTCTGTTATGCCCTGTTCCCACATTCGGCCATCCAGAAGTATTTTTCGACCCGACAAGATCACCTGGTTTATATTCTTTTGCACTTGCTCTATTTTTGTTACATTCTTTTTTATTTTCTGTTAATATTCTCTCTGGAATCATTTTTTATTTGTTCTCTCACTCTCTCTTGATCAAGTTCAACTAGAGTTTCCTCTTCAATAATATGTCGAATATTGTCGATATTCTTTACTTTCATGTCTATCCGATTAATATTTTCAATGGAGAAAATTTTGTACTTCTTAAAGGAGTATTGTTTATGCACTGATGGACTCTATCAACATGCTTGTACTAGTTTTAGGGATTTTCTCTGCACAATTTTGATAACACTGTTATGACAATCCTATTTATTCTCTCAACTTGCCCCGTTTCCTCGCGGTACCCCAGTTGTTATCAAAAGATGTTGTATATTTTCCTCCTGACAATAAGCTTTAAACAAATTTGAAGTGAAAGCTGTACCTCGGTCAGTTACTATTCTTTCTGGGTTTCCGAAAACTGATGATTGACGATTTAATTTTTCCAAAACCTCTTCCGTCCCAGTACTCCTAGTAGGATATAACCAAACGAATTTTGAAAACGCGTGTTCTATTTTATATGTCTTCAAAGGTAAATTGGATTTATCGATAGGATTCAAGAAACCTTCAGATTTTGCTAGTTTTCCTTCATTCACAATACACTCTACACAATTGAGAACTACGCCATTTATCTTTGGAGAGATGTCCTGAATGTAAAATTCTCGCTGAATCAACTCATGGGTCTTTTTGGCTCCAAAATGTCCTTCTCTGTGTGCTATTTTAATAATCTCGTCCTCCATTGCTGCCGGAATAAGTATGAGCTCTTTATTAGGATCTTTGTAAAGAAGGTCAGTTTTGATATAATAATCTTCATACCTAGCCTTTTGAAGCACTTTCTTTATTGCTTTTAAACGATCATCATTCATTTGGGCATTTTAAGGCAATATTTGACTGAATCCTCTACTAATAAGCATGAAACTCTACTGAGTGCATCCACATGCTTCATCTTAATCCCCGGGTGATGTTCGATTACAAAATCGAATTCCTGCAAAAACATTGCCCATCTAGACACTCTAAGAGGAACGTCCAATTTCTTCATAGTCATAGCGAATGCATTGCAATCCGCAACCAATTTAAACTTCATACCTAATAAAAATACTCTCCATTTCTTTAGTGCCTCCACTATAACTAAAACCTCTAGCTCATATGAATGATATTTTTGTTCGGCCTCAGAAGTTTTGCGAGTAGTTGCTGGTCATCCGTATTGTTTTGTAAGAGCATACCACCATAACAATACATACTAGCATCCGTGTGAACCTCAGTTATAGCTTTAGGTCTAAACAGATTTAAAACAGGGAAATTTACCAACTTAGATTTCAACTGTCCAAATGCAAGGAATTCTGACTCTCCCATCCTAAAAGCTACATCCTTTTTCAACAGATCTGTCAAAGGCTTAGCAATTAATGCATAATTGCACACAAATCTTCTAAAATACAAAGTTAAGTCTAAAAACCTGTCAAGAGATTTTCTGTCTCTGTTTATACTGTCTGGGTCCACTATTGCAGATGTTTTCTCAGTGGAAGGTTTAATTGTGGAATTCTCAATTATGTAGCCCAAGAAGTTGACACGTTTACACAAAATCTGACATTTCCCCCATTTTATTTTTAAGTTGTGACTTTCTGCTATTTTAAGAACTTTTTTCAATTTCTCAAGCCCTTCTTCCTCTGTCATCGATGGTATAATAATATCGTCCATATACACGAAGTATATTTTCTTGAACTTTCTTCGACAGGCACATGGAAAAATCCGTTTTTTAAATCTAGAGTCGTATATATTTTTGCTGACTGTAGCTTATGTAAAATATCATCGATAAATGGCATACAGAAATTGTCTCTAATTATTTTTTCATTCAATTTCCGAACATCGCAACATAACCTTT